TTAAAGAATTTTAATAATAAGAAATATAAAACTTTTCTCATTTAAAATTCTTTTTTCCCTTAATTGGCCAACATTAAAACTTTATAGTTTATTATACACAAATCTTTTTCAAATATTATCATGTTAAAATGAAGGTTAATAAAAAAATAACACTTTATACAGGTAGGAAACACAAATTTAATGAAAGTTTATGTTGAAAATAAGCAGTGATGAAGTACAGTACTTAATTCTAGTTGTGTTATTCTGAGTGTTAATTACATTTTGTGCAGTACATAATATCAGATAATGTATGTTTGTGGCAACATCTGGGCTGATAAACGCCAACCAACCCCAAAGTCAATGTGCCAACCAACCCCAAAGTCAATGTGCCAGCCAACCTCAAAAATCAATGTGCCAGCCAACCCCCAAAAATCAATGTGCCAACCAACCTCAAAATCATTGTGCCAACTAACCCCAAAATCAATGTGCCAACCAACCCCAAAATCAATGTGCCAACCAAGCCCAAAATCATTGTGCCAACTAACCCCAAAATCAATGTGCCAACCAAGCCCAAAAATCAATGTGTTAACCAACCCCAAAATCAATGTGCCAACCAACCCCAAAGTCAATGTGCGAACCAACCCCAAAAATCAATGTCAACCAACCCCAAAATCAATGTGCCAACCAACCCCAAAAATCAATTGGCCAACCAACCCCAAAGTCAATGTGCCAACCAAACCCGAAGGCAGTGCACCAACCAACCCCAAAATCAATGTGCCAACCAAACCCAGAAGCAGTGTGCCAACCAACCCCAAAATCAATTGGCCAACCAATCCCAAAATCAATGTGTCGACCAACCCCAAAATCAATGTGCCAACCAACCCCACCCACATCAGGACACACCCTTCACGCTATCATTATTTATCTTTGGCTTTCAGATCTTATATAGATGGATCTGTTTGGTGTTTCTACTCACTAAAATGAACATATGTTAAATATCTCACTGTAAAGGTGAAGTTTAAGTTCTGTAAATAAACACTAGCTGTGTATTAAAATGTGCTGAAGGGTCTCTGTAGAGGACGTGTAGACTTATTCACACTCTGAGGATCTTACAATGTTTCACTCATTTACTTTAATAAAGCGACGACTGTTACCGTTTCACTAATAAGCCCTTTGATCTATACATGTTTATTAAGGCTTTATATTCTTTTGTATTTTGTTGTTTTGGTCTGTATCTCTGGAATCTAATCTTTGTCTTGACACTGAAACTTGTTTGAGTTGTTTGAATCCTGTTTTTTTGATGTAAATGATCCTTTATCTTTTAATTAAATGCATTTTCCATCTCTGTGAAGGGAACCTTTGATTTGCTCTTAATTAAAAATGTTAAACAACAACAAAATAAGGTCTGTCCAGTTTCTCATCTGAACTACTGTGACTTTAAATCTTTGGGCTAAATAGGCTTTAAAGGGTCCATATCCTACTTTTTTCTTGGATTTTTTAATAAATATTCTTTCATTTTCTGTGTATTTCTTCATGTCTTTATAATGTTTGTGAGGTTTTATGTACCAAAAACAGTCATGATTCATTTCTATGTGACCACCTTCTATCCTCTCTTCATCCCTTACAGCTAAACAGGCTGTGTGTGTTACTGTACCTTTAAGACTGAGCTCTGTTCTGATTGGCTGCCTCATTCAGAAAGCAGTCTGAGCTGAAACACTCCTTATAACTTCAGCATGAATCAACAAGTAAAACTGCTGTAGGCTGAAAAGGCAGATCTACACTCAGTGTCCACTTTATCGGCTCCACTGACCGTATAGTTTCACTCTGTAGTTCTACAGTTACAGACTGTAGTCCATCTGTTTCTCTGATACTTTGTTACCCTGTTCTTCAGTGGTCAGGACCCCCATGGACCCCCACAGAGCAGGTACTATTTGGGTGGTGGATCATTCTCAGCACTGCAGTAACACTGACGTGGTGGTGGTGTGTTAGTGTGTGTTGCGCTGGTCTGAGTGGATCAGACACAGCAGTGCTGCTGGAGTTTTTAAACACCTCAGTGTCGCTGCTGGACTGAGAATAGTCCACCAACCAAAAATATCCAGCCAACAGCGTCCTGTGGGCAGCGTCCTGTGACCACTGATGAAGGACTAGAGGATGACCAACACAAACTGTGCAGCAGCAGATGAGCTATCGTCTCTGACTTTACATCTACAAGGTGGACTGACAAGGTAGGAGTGTCTAATAGAGTGGACTGTGAGTGGACACAGTGTTTAAAAACTCCAGCAGCACTGCTGTGCCTGATCCACTCAGACCAGCGCAACACACACTAACACACCACCACCACGTCAGTGTTACTGCAGTGCTGAGAATGATCCACCACCAATGGGCCGCTATGCTTTATCGTTATAGGGTGGGTCAGGTTGAGAAACCCTGAGTTAAGTTTCAGAGTCCAGCTGAGTTTCTTTTCTCAGTAAATGTTGTTTGCACAATCACAATAAAACCGTCTTTACTGACACTAATTATATTCTTATATATTCTTCAGGGGTTCAAATTTCACTGAGTTCTGTAGATAATTAAACTAATGCCTAAAATAGACGAAGGCCTGCAGTGGTGACTCATCAGGACCTTTCATTTATTGTGACACTAAACACAGTAAAAAAAACAACATCAACTTCAAGAGAAACTTCCCGTGTGACGTTCGCGGTCATTAAGCGCTGTCACACGACTCCGAGCGAGAATGACGCTGCGTTTCAGGTGAAAGCTTGTTAACCTGGTTGAAGATTAGCAGAGTCTGAGACTCTTTGGAGGAACAGCAGGAACCAGCAGCACTGCCTTACCTCCAAAAACATCACGAGGTAGAAATGTATCACGTTAAAAGCCTCAAGCAGTCAATCAAAATGGAGACTCAGATGTCTTTACAGTGGTGGTGATAGGAACCAGGGGTCGCCATGACTACAACACAAATATAGACATTTTATTTACTATCCAGAACCACCAGTGAACCTACACGAGTCTTCTGAGTTTATATGAATGTTGATGATGGAAAATAGTGGAAAATCTGAAAGTTTTCTTTGGGGACTATTTTGCCTCACAACTCTAAAAATTTTAGAACCAAAATCTTCTCAAAACTATCGTAAAACAGCCAGTTTCTGATTTAAGTTAATGAAGGACAGATTAGATAAACAGTGTTACCATGATGTCACAATAGCGCTGCACCTGTTTTGGTCGGCAACATAGGAAGTTCATTCAGCAGTGCTGTGGCTGTTTGTAATGACAGCATATTAACTGATATATTTGAGTGTTTTGATTTGATTGTATTTGATTGTTTTTGGTTTGTTGCTGTTATGATAACAAATGAAAGCTGAAATCTAAACAGCTGAGATTTCCCGCTGTGTTACTTGCGCTTCGTCCCAAATCGCATACTAGCTCACTAAATAGTGAGTAAAAATAGTGCATATCCCATTAGAAGTGCACTCATTAGTGCAGTAGGTGAAGTACAGAAGTGTGTGGTTTGGGACGCGGCGTTAGATCAGCCAGTGAGACGCGATCAACAGCTGCTCTGCTGTGCTGCTCGTTAGCTGCTCATTAAACACCTCCAAGAGAAAGTTTGAGGGGTTTAATGATTAAGAGCTCATTTACATATGTCACTTTTAGAGAGGCAGTAACCAACCAGAACAGAGCCCATTTACATATGTTACTCTTAAAAAAGGCAGTCACTAAACCGAATAGAGCTCATTTACATACATTACTCTTGAAGTGATAGTAACCAAACAGAACAGAGCTCATTTACATATATTACTCTTGAAGTGGCAGTACCTAAACAGAACAAAGCTCAATTACATATAGCACTTATACAAAGGCAGTAACCAATCAGAACAGAACTAATTTACATATGTCAGTCTTACAGAGTCAATACCCAGTCAGAACAGAGCTCATTTACATATGTCAGTCTTACAGAGTCAACACCCAATCAGAACAGAGCTCATTTACATATGTCAGTCTGACAGACGCAGTAAGGGAGAGACAGTGTGATATTGTGAGTGTATTGTTATTGATCACAGTGTCGACTTCACAGTGTTTTTAAGGCGGATCAGTTTCTGTTGAGATTCTCAACACACTCTAGAACATTACTGCCCTGAGAATCTCACTAAAGAGACAAAATATTCCTTTATTATTGACTCATAAACTCAGTAAATATGACTTCAATATGAGTCAAAGTGGCCTAATTACCTCTGTTTTTTCTTTTTACTGAGCGGCTCTCGTTGAAAACTGCAGCTCAGAGCAGTGTTTACTGAAAGCCACGTAAACAGCGGAGCATGGTGCCGTTTTTAGGTCAGACAATGTGTGACCACTCACAAGATGAATCTGAGCACGTACACGTTATGTGTTGACCTGAGTTGCCCTCAGTCGCACCTTTCCTGTATAACTGAAAGCACTGGCAACCTGAAAGGCCTCATTCAGAGAGCTGCTGAACCTAAACACAGCCTCACCAAGAGCTCCTGCTGAACTCAGACTCATTTAAAGGGCCCATATCACAGAAAAACACGTCTTCCTCACTTTGTCTGCACATCCGTCTTTTCAGCCTCCAGCAGCTTAGCACTGCCCCCTCACGCTGAGGTTATAAGGGAGCGGGCAGCTTTTTGAGAAAAGGTCACTAGTCATGACAGAGGTCATTTACATATTAAAGGTACAGTAACAAAACAGCCTGTTTAATTCTAAGAGGCCAAAAAATGTAAAAATGAATTATTGATTGTTTTTGGTAAATAAGGTGCATAAATGTCTTACAGAAAAGAGGCCTCTAAAGGAAATGGGCCCTTTAAGAGACGTTTTGTGACAACAGACAAATAAGCCATTTCATTTCCATTAAATTATAATTTTTCAAAAGCCGCACCTCAGTTTCCTGGTTCCTCCTGAGGGCCGCGGGTGTAAAGGTTAAGTGTAAAGCTTTAGTGAAGTGTGATGCTGAGCGCTGTAAAGCTATAAAGTGATACTGGGTGCACTTTGCTAAGGGCTGGTTCAGATTATAGCTCCTGTATTGAGGACTCAGAGGAGCTCTTCCAGGAAAGGGGCGTGGTCTGGATGGTGTATAAATAGGTCCACCTGTATGAGACAGGCAGTCTTACAGCAGGCGCCTAACGGTCTTTTCAGGAGGGACACAGTTATACTGGCTGCGTATTCAAGTCTAACCTGTCTGGACGGTTCTCTGTTTCCACACCATGAAGTCTCTGACCGCTGGACTCTGCCTGCTGGCCATGCTGGCCTCCACAATGGCCCAGGTAAAGACTACATCTGTCCTTTAATTCAGCCACATCCATTTAAACGGGTTATATTAGTCATTTGTGCTATACGGATACACAGTGTTTACTGCGGTCAGTGTCATGAGAGAACTTGGAGGTGAATTCCACCAAATTTTCAAAATTCTCTAATAATCCCCAGATTATTAAATTCCCTAATAGTTCCTGAATTATTAGGAAATTTTGAAAATTTGGTCAGTTTCATGATGGAACTTTGAGGCGAATTCCACCAAATTCTCAAAATTCCCTAATAATTCCTGAATTATTGAATTCCCTAATAATTCCCTTTTTAGAGAATTTTGAACATTTGGTTAACCCTGATAATTAGATGGCTTAGTGGTTTAGCAAACAAACTTATTCAGAGTGGTTTGATGTGAAGGTTCACTGTAGAGAGCTTTCTGAAGACTCAGAGCGAGAATGACGCTGCATTTCAGGTGAAAGCTTATTAAACTGACACGCTTTACTGAAAACTGCCAGAAACCAGCATCACTGCTTTAACATCAAAAACAACACGGGAAAGATTTATATTTAGGTAAAAATCTTAGGAAGTCGTAAAAACTATCTACAACTATTTTTCTGGGTTGTAGGTGTTCAACACATCTGAAATAATACGTTTTCTTTGGGGACTATTTTGCCTCACAGCGCCCTGCATGTATCCCTCCACCATGAATGGAGCTTAAGTTCTCTAAACTATCATAAAACAGTGTCTCAGTCATCAGGCAGTGAATTCATAACCATTTCCTGTAGGAACTTTCTGTGAGGGAGCTTTTAGAGGTGGACGTCTGGTTCCTATCACCACCACTGTGAACAGTTTATCTAGAATGGAGCGTTTCACACCAAGCCTCTCTGAACCGCTCTGTTTACATCATATACATTTATTAAGAACTATTATACACAAATTAGTGCAATTTCAGTTATTACCAAATGTAAATGAACAAAATAATGCTGAGGTTGTATTTTTAACACAAGGCATTGCTTTTCTTAGTGTTCGCGCTTGAAGCTGTGACTGTATGTTGTGAGACAGAGTAGTATGATCAATAAAATGAATTTTTCTCTCAGTTTAATCCACTAAGTGTGCTCTGATAAGGCATATTGACCCAGAGCCTAAAGCCTATTGATCTCATACTCAGCGGTTGGCACAATTGACTTTACTGTTGCGTGATTTGTATTATGCAATCAATAACTAACGAATGGAAACAACCTGTTTTCCACTGTTCAAGGCAAGTAGCACAGCGGCTGCAGGCAGCACCAACGCAAAGCAATCAAGCACCGCCACCGCAGCGCCATCAACCAACTCCACCTCAACACCAGTTAACAGCACCACCGCAGCACCTGCAAACAGCTCCACTGCAGCACCTTCTAACAGCACCACGGTGATACCATCTAACAGCACCACTGTGATACCATCAAACAGCACCACTGTGATACCATCAAACAGCACTGCGGTGACGACTTCAAATGTTACCACCGCCACTCAGAGCACAACAAAATCCAGCAGTCCTGATGCTAAAGCTACGCTAATGACCTGCATCCTGCCTGCTCTTTATCTGCTGTGGAACTGAACGTTAACTGAGCTTATGATGAACTAACTCAGCACCCCGGGGACTGTGACCCCCCCCCACCCCCAAACCATAAAGACTGCCTGTTGGACTTTCAGTGTTTTGGAAAAGTTGCTGATGTTTTGGCCGAGCTGACCGAAACTGAATGACGCAAAACACTGTTTTCCAGAATCTGTAGTACTGTATGATGAGCGTTGATACATCATATTTATATTTTTATCTCTTTCTGAAAGAATTTTCTTGGAGAATCATGAATGCCTAAATATGTTGTAAAATCACCAATAATGAATAAATCTACAGGCGAAATCATCAAATTCAAGTCTTGTCGTGGTTTGTGTGTTTGTGTGTTTGTGTGCTCTGTCTATTCAACAGGAAGCAGCTTAGAACCAACGTCCTGTTATACTGTATTTAAGGAGTTGGATGTGTTAATTTTGCACGCATACACTTATATAATGGTGAATATAGTGAATAACCACTTGAAGTGTCTCATTTTGGGTGAAAGAAAATTACAGTACAAAAAGATCAAAGACCATATTTCAGTCCAATTTCCAGCCAATAAAGTATATATATATATATATATAGGAGAAGGAGAAAATCATAGTGAAAAGAAACAGGAGTTTCCACTGAGTTCAAGAAAATCATCAACCAGCTTCTAAGACTGAACTTTGGAGGTGTGTCTGCAGATTCTTTGAGGAGCTGAAAGTGAGTCTCCTGAACAGAATGGAAGCTGGAATAAAGGTAGAGTGACTCACTGACTCAGACAGCTGATATCTATTCGTATTTAATGGCTGTTTCATGGTGATCTCGGACCTCTGGGTTTTATGGAGAGATAACAGGGCCAACAGAATGATCCGATTAAAGTGTTGAAAATTGAAAAAATTCACGGTGGAGTTCACAGTTCGGTCATTCTTCTTCATTAGGTGGTGCCTCCAGAGTATAGTGACTACAGTACGCTGGGTTTAGTGATGGAGCTTCTGAGCGAAATTCCACCAAATACATTGTTTATTTTACGTTAATGACTTTAACTTGTCTTCACACTCAGATCATGTAGCTAAAGCCACAGATTCTACAGTAAAGAGTGTCTATCACACTGGCACATCCTGGAAATAAGAAACAGCACTTTTTATCCCTTTGTTGACCTCTTGGAGTTTGTTCAGCCTCAGTGTATATTAATAAGAGCCCCTGGATTAGACAGCTCTCATTCTAAACATCTAATGCTCTCCTGAGGAGCGTTTGTGGACGGACGCTGACCGTCTGAATGCTCTGTGCTCTCTCTCCACACCATGAAGTTACTAACTGTGTCTTGGTCACTGTGCAGGTAAAGCACTCAGCCGTCAATCAGCCCAAACACACTCATCCCACTGATCAGTCTGCACTGTCGTTGAATGTGCTTAAACTGATGATTTGGCTCAAATTACACTGAACATTCACAAACTGTCTGGCAGCAGCAGAGAATTCACTGAATGTAAGTCAGTGAGCCAGAATGAGAAGATGAATATTCAAATAACAGCAATACTGAAACATTCGAAATGAAAGTACAGCTCAATTACAAACAGCAGGAAATGAGCCACAATACTTTTAGGAATGTCCTCACGGTCACACAAAAACCTTGTATCTCCATTTTTCTCATTTTTTACTTTTTTACATTTGCAGTTTGAAAACTTCAGTTACTCTTTACATTGTGATAGCAATTCACGATGTGCGGATGAACAGAGATGCTCCAAAATTGCCCAGAAAAACTATATTATGGCATCAGTGTACAGAAAGACAAGGAGAGGCCACTATTTCTGCCATGAGAAGTGCCCTTTTATTTACACCAGCAGAAAAAGGCACATACAAACAAAGCGAGGGGGCACGCACGTACAATTTTTCCTTATTTTAGATACACGAACTTCCACTATCTCACCCACAGTCCAATACAAGATAACATAATCAACACACACCACATTTAAACTAACTAAACAACAGCACAACAGCAACTGCTGTCTCTTTCCCAAAGGCATACCAGCCTCTAAAGCCCCCCGAAACACAGAGCATGTAGAACACCCGTCTTTTTGATCTGGATTTAAAAGCTTGCATTACATATCGTCTGGAATGCTGTTGCAGAGCTCTTTATGAAAATGATCTTCCACCAACTGAGCTGTGAGAGATGTGAGTTTGCAGTAAGGCAGCCTCAGCTGAGTGAAGTGGCCTAGAAACAGATCAGTGATATATGCTGGAGCTCAGCCATTAAGAGCCTAACTGAGGTGATTCTCTCTGGATTTGTTCATCTCTTCTTAAACTCTCCTCTAAAGTCTCTTCATATAACATGATCCTCATATGTTTCATATCTAAATCTCCGTTATCTTCATCACTACTTTCCAAAACTGCTGCAGCAGCTTCAGCAGCTGTAAACTCTCTGCACGCCGTTTCACACGAGTCTCCGATGTGGACTGAATGAAGAATGAAGGGTTTCCGGCGTGATGGTCAGTCCTTAGTGATTTCCTGAGTGTCTATCGGTCAGTTTCACACAGAATGTAGATGGACACACCAATCCACCAGTTCCACATGGTGAGAGGCAGATGACGTGTATCTCAGCCCCTCTTCATAGGCTCATAACTCCGGATGTGAGTCTCGTATGATCTCGTGATAAGATGGAATGAAAAGGGCGACTCTACAGATTCAGGAAGTGTCTGAACTGGATTTCTGAGCTGGATCATCACAAAGATACAGACACAGATATAGAAATAGAGAATTCGAAGCGTGGGAGAGAGGGTTAAACGTCAAAAACAAGACCTTGTCGTCAATTTAGAGAGACGGCAGAGCAACCAACCAGTAACACATTACCGTCTAACCTATTAGTTATGAAAGCATGAACTCATTTCTCAGTATCTTGTAGGAATAACTTGCCTTATTTCAGATGTTTCTCAAGCAATAAAAGGCAGTTAGAAACCTTTAAGGTCAAGGATAAAATCTGTAATGTATTTTCAAGCACCAACTTAACTCTTCTTAGCACTTTTAAAAAAATGAAATGAAAAAACTGATGCTAACCAAGAACGGAGTTAAGTAAGAAAGATCCAGGTACTGATCGATTTTCAAACGCCTCATGAATTACATAAGAGCTGTGTACAGCGTCTGCTGAGTCCACAGAGCAGAAATAAAGTGGGGCTTTAAAGTCATTCAAACAGCTGGTCTCCTCACTTTACTGCTGTGTTATTCACGCTGAGCAAACAGAGGCTGGTCTCTGCACAGTGAACTGTAAGACACAGGAGGACAAGCAACCAACAAACACTACAACTACAGCGTCACCAGAAACTACCACTATGCTACCATCAATGCCATCAATGCCTCAATGCCTGAGAACACCACTACGACACCATCAAACACTACCACATCAAACAGCACCTCCATAATACCATCAAACACCATGACTATGATGTCATTAAACACTATAACTATGATACCGTCAAACACTATAAATATGATGTCTTTCTGTACATGCATTAGTTATATATCAGGTCACCTTGGACTGACACACACACACACAAACACACCCCAAACAGTTCTCGAGTAATTTAAACTGATTTCCTTGTTCCTGCTTCATGGTTTGAGGCATTGTGACCTTCTACCAAGAAACAGTCCATTTGAATTTCAAAGAAAAGCTCCTCAGACAGTCGATTTCAGATGGATTAGTAAAGATAAATCTCACATTACAACAACCCAGACTCTCTCTGTTTATGGCATAACGTGAAGGCCACATAAGGGCTTTATGACCATATAACTAACCCGTACAGAAACAGGAGGAGGAAATGAACCAGTGTAACTGCAGCAAACTCACAAAGACTGAAACAGCACTGAGTTACTGAGGTTTATTATGAGTGCAGACAGAGGAGAGCAGATTTCATGTAAAAGGTTGAAGGTTGTTCATTTTTTAATTTTATTTTATAAGAAGTGCGATAGTGCCGTATTAAAATAAGGGCTTGTTTACTGTTCAGTCTTCAGCACAGCAGATGGCCAACAGGGCCTGCTGGAGTTCTCCCTTAAACTGCTTCTGTGGAGAGAATTCAGAAGGAATTCTAGCTTCAAAACATATACATACATAATAATACGTTATTTACAACGTAAAGGCCGATTGAGGGCTTTATGGCCATGAAACTAACACTGTGTTTGTGTAGACAGAATGTTTCTCATTTGTATTAATTAAATGAAATGTGTATATAATTAAGTGGATCAATAACAAACACAAACAAAACTTACATAATCATATAACTGAACATTTTAATTACAAAATGCAAAATCCACTGTAATGTTTGTATGATATACATTGTGTGTGTGTGTGTGTGTGTGTGTATGAGTAACCTGTAAGGTGGTGTACAGTGAGGTTCCAGTGTGTGTCTTGTATGCCACCCTCACAGCCAGTAGATCCTCCTCACAGTGGGACACCAGCACTCCCTGCAGCACTGACCCCTACAGAGCACAAGCATTTATACATTAATCCTGTGCCATGAAATAAACCATAGAAATAACCCCAGATTATATTAATCCCATGCTGCTAAACAAACTGGAGAAATAACCCCAGATAATTTTTTTCAGTTTTCTTCTGGCTAATTTGCACAAATCTGTTCTTCATCAGTTTCAGTTACAGGACACTTACCTTCATGTTCAGGATGCGCTGGGCCAAATAGAGATGTTGGTTCTCTATGCAGCGCACTGTGGAGACAGCAGAGGAGAAACACTTACAGGTATTCTTACAGTGTTTTCACATATAGTTCGTTTTAAAAGAACCGAACTGAGTTCTGTTAAAGTGAACCTGGAAGGGAACCAACTGCAAATGACCTCAGTTCGTTTTGTGTTCACAATGTAAGTGAACTCTAAAGAGGACTCAGTCTTCTTTCTGGCCCTTTGGGATCTCAGACCACTTCTTGTTCAGACCCCAACTTCATTAGAACTCGGACCCCTTTCACAGCTGTATGTGCGCGCAGTGTTCGCAAAATGGGCCGCGTTCTCTGATAAATCCGACCTATCAGGTGACAAGAAGAACCGCCAGAACCGTCTGCTGCTCTCCTATTGGCCGCACTGAAACGATTGGACGAAGTGCATCGCGCAAAATGGGAAAAATGGCCCTGCGGGTCTGCGGTGGGCTCCGTGTTCGGCTGTGCTCCTCACTGAAGCTCCACCCGGCGAATTTTCATTCATTAAGTGTTCAGAGTGAAAGCAGCTGAAAACTGCGCTGCGTGCAACACACACACTCACACACACACACGCACACACACACACACACACACACAGCTCAACACACACACTCACACACACACACGCACACACACACACTCAC